ATGATAGGGAGATAATCATTTTGGTCCATTAACTTACTAATTAGAGGTAACCTCTTTCATTCGAACTTGCTGCTTGTTCCCAAATATTATAACCTCTGTTCCATTTTCCTAAATGGATATTTTATCGGGTCATAGTCCACTTGCTTCTTAGGTGAGGTTGAGGTGATTTTGTATGTGTGCCAATTTATATTTTGCCCCCTTTGTTGTGTCTCACACAATTTTACATATAAAAAATTAAAATATAAAATGAAAAGGAATATGATGTGTGTGACTTTCAAAAACAAAATAGCTGCTTGTGATGTTGAAGATAGAATATTCTAGCTGAAAGATTAAAGATTTTACCTTAAGAACTTTTACATGTTTCCCTTTTCTAGGCCCGATCATGTCCAAGTTCATCAATGCTTTTCGTGAGCTTGCTAGCTATAAGGAGTTGCTACGTTCACAAGTGAGTATTAATTTACCATCCAAATAAAATGATTCTTTAATAACAAGGGGATGACTAGCCTTTGTTTCATTAATGCTTATTCCAAATGTATCTATTTACTGGCAACACTTTTGCACATGCTATTTTCTTTGACCAGTAACATTTCAGTTTTTAATGAGGAAATAAGTGGCTATATGGTAAAGATGATGGACCTTTACCTTAGTTCAATACAATCTTACGACATTATCTTTTGAAATTGAAAATAGATTCAATGATCAGATTGTAGCTTCACTCTAAAAAAGTATTTAACATGTTAATTTCTACATATGCAATTACTTTGTGAATTCTTTAGTTGCTATCAGATGCCTTTGTGTTCAATCTGGGTAGGCTACCTTTCTCTTTAAAAATAATAGCACTAGTGGACACTGAACATATTTGCTGTGCATGAAGAGGCTAACAATCTTAAGGCGCCTGCTGCATAACTTAAGATAAGCAAATTTTTTTTTTTAAAAAATACTTATATCTGACAGTCAGTATTACATTTGCCTCCTATCTTGTTACATGCCCGAAAGATTAGTTACTTATCTTATGAATGTTCTTTTTGGGATGCTCAATTTTGTATCTGAGATTTCAAAGAATACCTGTTACAGGTGGAGCATGTGTTAATTGATCGGCTAATGCACTTTATGACTGTTGATTTGCAAGAAGCAAAGGTAAAGATAAGCTGTTTCACTGAAATTTGTTTTTCTAAAATTTTGATTTGATCATCAATTTCTTTGGAATTGACATTATTATTATTAAGCCTACTGTCTACAGTCTATATGTGTGTACCTTAAACATTTTAAAATTTAAAGGAAACTGAGTCAGTGAGAGAGGAACTTAATCACTCCTTTGTTGAAAATTTTCATTGAAACCTTGGCTCTATGTGCTTGAAATGGGGGTTGTTAAAGAGAGCCACACTTTCTTTGGCATTTCTTGTAAATCTTTAAATTCCACATATGTGCACTTAATGACATAGGATAACCAATTTCTGTGAAACACATAACTTTGGTTTTGTAGCAAAAGATTGCTTGTCATGTACTTCTCTTTTTTTGTCTATTGATGTGATATGTTCTGATTAGTAAAGACACTTTTGAGGAGGCCTTACCTCATTGAAATCTTTCCACCACTGTAAACAATCCTTCACATCACACTTTTGAGGTCTTTTTACTTCAATAGTTTAGTATTTTCATTTTTTCTTGTCTTCCCACCTCCTTTTATTTCAACTTAAATGTTTGACGCTTCTTCCTTTTCTTTTTTTTTCTGATTATCCGTTACCACATTATGCATCCATGTAATTTGCTTCTTCTAGCCTAAAAATATAGGTTTTATTTGTTATTTTTTGAACTCCAAGTAAAAATGTTACTTTACTTTTGCTATGTACTCTTTTATATTAACTTTTCTGTGTTTCCTTTTTTATCATCTTTGGAAATGAAGCCCTTTCTAACATAA